CTTGCAACTTCCGCATCCAATCTAGTCAATTCCTCAACAAAAAGATTAGACAACAACTTAAACTTATTAGAGGAAGGTAATTCCGCCGATGCCATAAGAACTTGTGAAGAATTATTCTCAGGATTCCCAACTGTAGGCTGAAATCCAGATTTGTGATTCTGAATATTCTTCATTCTTCTATTTTTTCTAAAACTTTAGATGTATCCAAGGACCATAACAGGTTTGTGAATATGCATTAGCCATTTTGTCAATCAAATTCTTATCAAAACTTCTACCAGCAACTTTTGAATCCATTACTTTATTCCCATTATTCAATACTTCCTTTTGAACCTTAGTTTGAACATCTTTAAAAACATCCGGGCACATATCAATTTTATGGCCTATCTTACCACATTTGAAACACAAAGAAGATATTTTTTCATATTCCACTCTCTGAAAAAAGTTTACGTATAAACCTTCAATCCAAACTCTATGAGATAATTTAAAGTCTAGATTAATTCGAACACATGCTCTAGCAAATTCACGTCTACCCCATTTAAATATTTTTCCATCCAAAAACAAAGGAACTCCTATCTTTGAAACAATCTTAGTAACATTAATCTCATCACAATAATGTAAAGGCAAATGTGGCAACCGAATGCAAATCAGTGAGGATATCCCTTTTAACGAGATTGGAGAAAATTGAGGCGTCCATTTATCCATTTCTATTATGTGTCTTCCCACATACCAAGGACCTCCACTCATCACTTCTTCCATAACTTGAGAAGATTGAAATGAACACAAAATCCAATCTAGGCCCAATGAGGTGATATGAAAACTCCCAAATTTATTCAATTGACGCCTTAACTCAATGCTACAAAGAGAAAAAGGAACTTCTCTCTCAAACACTTTCACCACAAGAGATTTTTGAAGTAATTTAACATTTTCACATACATTATCCATATTAAGTTTAACCACATTCGGATCTACAGCTTCTTTAGAATCTGGATCCATTTGAGTCACTTTGATATGCTGGGCCTTAAACCACTCATTCACCTAACCAAAATTGCTGTTATCAGGGTTCGGTAAAACCTTCATATCCTTCACCATATGCGTTTCAACTTCAGAATTCAAACATTTATCATGAATTGACATAATCCCAAGTATTGTTGAGTTCATGGATTTTAACTTTACAAAGTAGAGTTCTTTGAGGTCCGACGAGTTGATACAATACCACAATAAAAGCAAGGTCACAAGCCAAGACACTTCCTCAAAATTTGGATCATTCATCATGCACAAATCTCCATACAAACCCAAAGAAGATATATAATCTCACTAAAAATCATTGAAGAATATTAAATAAACTTATTTTAAGATTCATTGATGGGTAGGACAGCCATACCATCCAAAGATACAAAATCTTCAAGCATTACTAAATTTTAGGATCATTCCTTACTTGCCTTATTTGGTCAATTTGAATTTTTATATTTTTAAAAGTTTAAAATTTTAATTTATTTCTATTATTTTATTCTAATTTATACAAGTCATCAATCATATAACGGCATTTCATTAACTCCTAAGGCTTCCCAAAATTATTTAGGCTTAAAAAAGGCTATAAATAAGACATTGCTTTTTTGCTTCTAAATTTATTGAATAAAAATTATTATTATGCAAAATTCATTTGGTAGACTTGGCAACCGCTCTACCCTATTCCCTAATTATCTTTTCCCATATTTATTCTTTTTCTTTCCAAACAAAATTCTCACCTTCTCTATATAACCAAAATTCTAGCTTTCTTCAACTCCAAACTATATCCAATGTTTTCAAAACTCTCCCAACATTCCCCTATATCAATCATAACCTCCTAAGGCATTAACTCCACAATAACCCTAAGATACTCTAGCCAAAAGCATAATATAGTAAGACAATTTCCTACAATGAGCAACCGGATTAAAAATATGACAACTCCTAAAAATACCAACATTAATTCTCTACTATCTCAAACACTTGATCAGGAGTTTCTCTCCATTTTCCTTCAAGAAAAACTTATCGTTTAAGAAGTTTCGGCATCAAATCTATCCAAACCGTGAATCCCTACACCACACCACCCGTATAACCCTTCCACCGCCACTCATATATTCATTGCACGACAACCTTAAAGAAACACCAATTAAGTTGTTGTCTTTACCATAAATATCATATGGACTTTTCATCAAAAACACTAATTAACATCAACTCTAAAAACACTACCTGTAAATGCATTTCAAATTCAGTTTGTAGGAGATCAAGTTAGTACCCTGAACCTGCATTTCAAAGTCATAACTCCCTAAATTTCAATGTCATTTTCAAGTAAAATACCTTATACAAACCATGGTTCATAAAAAATTATGTTTGTCCAAATAATTACAACAAGAAAGACAATACATTCTCTTTCTATTTTTCCTTACAGTTAAACGAGAAAAATCACTCATATTCTCAACCTAAGGGACATTTTCCTCCGCTATTTAATCATGTCCTTGAATATTTCTACAATGGTGCTTTACTATACCAAAATCATACTAAATTTCATAACAAGTTAAAAGGTAGGGCTGTTGGAGTCAACTTATTAATCAAACCAGCAATCATTAAAACTAAAACATTATTGCAGTCCTAATTAGATTATCTTATTATCCAGAAGCTTTTTAAAACAAATTTCAAGGGTCAATAGGGAAAATTAGTTGGCTTATTTTGATTTCAGTGTATGCATCCAAATAAGCATCTAGAAAATAATAGACATGAGAGGATAATAAATAAAAATACAAGCTTAGTACCCTGATAGGCCCCTAAACTTTTAGGTAAACTGTACATTGAACCTTGTAGATTCAAAATAAACCAATTGACCAATTCAAAGAAGGGCCTCTTAATAGAATTTGTATAAGGCAAATGTTTCCAAAATATTTTTTAGGATTTGACCCATGTCAACAATTGGAGGGCACACTTGCATGTGCATGTACAAAAATGGATTACATCATAAGACATGTTTATGGGCAAAATCTCTATGTCAACCACTTAGACCAAAATAACTTGGTACTAAAGGTTACATCCTAATAACACAATGATAATTCCTGAATAATTTATAAGACTTTTAATAAGTTGTGAACCATCTTCACGCCTGAAAAATCATGTAGTTAATGACAATATGCCCGTTAAATTAACAAAAAGCTATAATCTAAGGTAAATTGAAGCAAATTGTGATAACTATTCATGGCATAGATAAATAATTAACAAGATTAATAATTTGTAGCTAGGTTATTTATTAACCTGTACCAAGATGCTTTTTATCAAACCACTTGAAACTCCCAATATACATGATGCTATTAAAAAACATTTTATATACCCAATCTACCACCATATTTCGTTATAAACGATTTAACTCTAGACCTTCACATAGTTGCTAGAAACCTTTTTAATGAACAATTAAAATTTAATTCAATTACACACCATTTTCCATGTATTAATGGTCTACATAAAATGGTTGCCATCTTCTTAGCCATTTCATTTTAATATGATGCACTGACACTTCATATTAAAGGGGTATGCAATGTCTAATATGTATTTGATACTGACACTTGTCGAACACGACTGTCACGTGTGTTATTAGAAAAATAATAAAAAATTGGACAAGCGTGTTCAATATGCATGCCCTAAAAACTTAATTAATTTTTTATTAAAAACCCACTTCTGCTTCCCATTTCCCTCTAAAGCACTTCTTTTGGAAATCTTCTCACCCGATATTTTCCTTTCTCCGACGTTTGGCTAGGTTTGTGCCGACATTACTGGATCTACGAATCTAGCTATCGGCTTCCAAAGCTCTACTCTCATGTGCTTGTCTCTTAACTTCCTCAAACCTCTCAATGCCAAAGTCCAATAACTAACATTCTTTACCCTCTCAACATCAAGGCTGGCCCCCAAACCCAACAAGGTGATGACTAGTTGAAGCCCGAGGTCCTCTAAATAAACACTAAATAATCAAAGAGAATGGAAATGGATCCTTTAAATAAATAACTTTAACTATAACTCTATAAGTTTGTTATAGAACCAAACATCATTAATAAAAGAATATTTAAATAATATACAATTTTAATTTTCATACAATGATTTTGTTTGTCATTTGTTTAAGTTGTGATATTTAATATTCTATATATTTTTTGTGTATTATACAAAGTTCAATAAAAAATAATGAACACTATTATAACTCTACAAGTTTAATCTATTTCATTTAATTTGTATGCATTATTTTGAATTATAAAAATATAAATTATGTCGCATCCAATGTGTGCTCATGTCCTATATTTTAATAATAGATATGTCATATGTTTGTATCATGTCATGTCTGTGTCCAAGCATTCTAGACGATATATATTAAATGTTTCTTTTAATAGATTTCATTATACATCTAAGATATGCATTTATGATAACTTATATATGTTTACTAAAACATTTTTTTCCGAAAATCACCTTACAATCCTTGCAAAAGAAAGCGATACCTAAAATTAATGAAAATTATGTTATAATTACAACTATTATTTGAAATTGTCACTGAACAACTTTATTGAACTCTATAAAATCAAATTAATTAACGGAGAGAATCCCCTATTCTAGCCAATTAAATCCGCACATTAGAATATAGAAAGAAGAAACTCAAGTTTGGAAGCCTCTCAACTGAATAGTTTGCTTCTTGATCAAGCTCCTACAGATAATAGAAGTGCAACATAGACAATTTTGTAAATAAGTAGCCTATGTTAATGATAAATTTATAGAAAATAAACTTTAGATGATTTGAGCATGTATAATACATGATAGAGAATGCAAAATGAGAAGAATAGATAAAATTAGTTTAGAAGGATTAGGGAAATAAAGGGACGGCCCAAAGAAAATATGATCATAAGTTATGACGAAATTTTTATATTAACACCTCATGCAACACTCAATAAGATAAAAGGAGAATAAGGATTCTTCTAAGTGAAACTTAATAATCTTACCATGCAAATGATCTTCTAGAGACCCTAGTGGCATAAACTCATATACAAGAAGCCGTTGATCTCCATCAGCACAATAGCCAATTAAATTAACAAGGTTTGGATGGTGTAACAAACTAAGCATCAGGACCTCCACGAGGAATTCTCTGTTTCCTTGTAGCCCATCCTTGTCCAGTTGCTTTACAGCTACAATCTGCAACAAATCAATTCATCTCTAAACTCATCAATCCAAGGAATAAACTGAAAATAAAAATAAAAAGTTTTTAGAAAAAATTTCTTCACTATTTCCCTAGTCAATAATAGATGCCACCCGAATATAGTTACTTAAACTTACAGTTGATAAAATGGAAGTAGCAGATGAGAATACATGCAAAACAAGTGATAGTAACTGTTTGAATGCAATCAAATTCTCGGTAAAAGAAAAAGTTGTCACCTGTCCAGTGCTCTCCAAATGACCTTTATAAACCCGACCAAACCCCCCTTCACCCAAGAAGCACGCAGGCCTAAAATTCTTTGTTGCAGCTGCAAGCTCCCTGAATGTAAATGTTTGTGCTGATATAGTCACACCAGACCCATCCTTAAGAGACAATGCCTCCTTTTTAGCCCCTAAATTGCTTCGAGACCTAAACCTATCAGATCCTGCAAATCCATGACCGACAAAAATTAACCTCCATTTATTTTTATTTTTTTTTCTGAATAAAGAGTCCAAGACAAATATATCAGCATTCCGTCTTCCCTTAAGAGACTTTAAAACGCAATTATCAATAAGTACATGCAATGATTTTCGTGTAAGCAATTATCTGGAGATCTAGGCGATCAAATGAACAGGATAACTAACTAGAGCCAGCAAAACCACAAGAGAATTGATCTTACTCTATATAAAAATTATTTGAAATAGAATTTAGATAATGTATTACGATAACATTCTCAATTCAAAACACCAATCACGGAGAAAAAATTCACCGGAAACAAATAAGATGAATCTAAGACACTGGAAAAGAACCTAGTAACATTGCCTTTGACCTCAAAACAAATTTCAGGGTTGGTCCAAATCTCAGCCTGAAAAGACAAACAAAAATCCAGATCCACCTATTGATAGTGCTTACAAGAGGATCAATGGGTCAAACATACCAGAAGACAACGTTTTTATTCGGGGAGCTACCATAGGCCGTTCTTCCTTCTTTACATCTCCCTCGTCACGGGGATGAAAAGTCACTACCTCCTCCGAACCGAAGCAAGGGAAACATCCCATCCCCTTAAACAAATCAGAACCCCCGTGAAGCGAACAACTTGTGATCTGTCAACCCCTCCGATCACATTCTGCCGGCAACCACAGAGAACTGAACTGCAACCATGGAATTCAGTGGCTTTCAGTGGTAAGATTTGGTAATTTTGTCGCTAGAGGCACGGAATGGAAGAAATTCCAGCTGCTGTGGAGAGTGAGAAAGACTTCGCGGCCCCTGCCCATTGTTCGGCTTTCGGAGCTTCAGTATATAAGCAATTCAGTTAATAAAGGAAAAAAAAGCAATATTCTAGTATATAAAGGGGCGCAATTCACTCCCAATGCCTTAATTTATTATTGAAGTTATTGCAATAAAGTTGCATGTGAGACAATTTAATAATGGTAGGTTGGAATGCCCCACTAAAACATTAGTGATAAATATTAATGAGGTACACTAATGCAACTATCATAAAAAATATTCTCCCATGCACTTTTTCTCAATCACCCTTTTAAATCTTTATATTATATTGTTTTTTTTATGAAAATATTCAAAATATTAAATATGAATTTGTACCACATCCTCTTCTCTCTCTTATTAAATTAAAATTTCATATTATACCTTAAATTAAGTAATGCCCATTTATATGATTTCAGGCTAAGATTATGATTTATAATGAATCTTCTTTGTAATCTAGGATGATGAGATAATTAGGTACTTCAATATTATTACAAATTATGATTCTAGTATTGATTTTTAAAATATTTAACATTATTATAATGTTAACATTGCATTTGTGTATTAAATCAGCCTGGTAAATTAATAGCATAATTAAATTTCTCATTATTTAAAAGTTGGCTAATAGATGAAAGTTGAAAGAGATGTATTGTTTAAGATAATTATAACTCAAAGGTTAGAAACCATAAAAAATTCAAGCTTAGCTACCTACACTTCTATATAATTTTGTGGCTACCTTAGTTGATGTTTTTTTCATATTATTGGTTCATTGACTACTCTTCTTCAAGTTTTTCTTTCATTATTCTTTTCTTTTGCTTAGCAATAAAACCACTCACTTCTTCTTCGTTGAAGTCTTGGGTACGATAGTAAGAGGTATACTAAATTTTTAGTAAGAGAAATATGATATGTAGCACATTATAAAGAAGAGTATTAGTGGAATTTTGTCATCCTCAATGGATGGAAATATTTTGTGATCAAGCGTGACATACAAAATAATATATTACTTTGAAAGATAAAAATATTATTTCACTATAGGCTTAAATAACTAAATTTGCATTTTTTATATTTTACATAAGATTTTCATATAGTTGATATATTTGATATAGCAGAATTTGTTTTATTTTAGGGTACAGGTTCCCCATAGGGGTAAACCCCTATAGTTAATGGCATCCTACACATTTGTCACTAAGGAACATGTTTTATAAAAATAGTGGTTTGTGTTGTTTAACAAAAAATTGTCTAGTAATTTTAAAGGGGTTGATTCTTAGAAATCCTTATCAAATAATTAATCTTTTAAGAATTTCAAGAGGGAGGGATTTGATCAACTTAAAATGAATTATGAAATTGAAGCAAAAGGAGGAAGAGCTAGGAGTGCTTAATTCTAAGAAACTCATAAGTACTCAAATTATCTTATGTTGTGCTTTATATTTTTTATAACTAAATTTTAGCTAATGTTAATCAATTTAATTTAGAAAGCTGGGTCTTATATTCCAGCAACACGGGTTGAAGGAAATGCTTGGGAAGGCGAGGGATTATGATGTAACTAAGAAGAACACCAGCCTCGGACCCTACATCTAAGGTGAGGACAATCGATAGATAGTAATATTGACTTATATCTTGTTTAATGCAAGGGACTTATGAACTTAAAACCCCACCTAGAGCTAAGCTAACCCGACTTTGAATTTATAGTCCTGCCTTGAATACAGTTCTAGCTAACCCACCTAAACTCTTTTAAAATCATGAAATATAATCTCATTCCATATGCAGGATAGGGAAGGTTATTTTGATTTAAAAGATAGAACTTACAACTTATTCATGTAAACCAAGATGTCTGATCATGTGGATATGCAAATGCTAACTCACAGTGTAGATTTTTTTTATCATTTGATCCTCATGTGAGGTTTTCTACATGTGACACACTTGGGCTATATATGATCATTATAATATATACGTAAAAGAAACATCCCAAAAATTTCTATCACTTAAAGTGTCAAGCCCTATTTCTATTTTATTGGTTATGCCTCCATGGGGGGTTTTAAACAATCTGTGTAAGCAAATAACATTAGATAATCATGACTTTTTCCCTCCTTTAGTCATGGTCACCTGCAGAAAAAGCATATATATCTCTATCATAATTACTTAAGAGTAAGTACCCACAATATAGATAATCCAATAAGAATCACACCAAACACATCAAATACATACACATAAAAGGAAAAAATCTTAATCCTAGGATGTCTAAGGGTTTGGAATCTAAGTATTTGATGTATTGTGTGATATGTCACACTATAAATGAGTCTCTTATTTTAATTATTGAATATGAAGAGAGTTAATTTTTAGTCCAAGTGGTGGTTTTCATTTAAGTTATTTATAAATTAAAACTTTTATTTAATTTTTAGGTTTTATATTTAGGAGAGTTATGAAGAAATAATGGAGCAACCACTATTTTATTTGAGTAAATCATGTTTCTCATCTTGCCCTAAGATCCAATGACATAGATATCCCATCTTTTTGGGGTGGGATACTTGTTGAAACTTGTTAAATATGAATTAGGTTGTTAGACCTAAGCTTATGTCCCAAAAGGCTGACCAAGAAGGGGGGTGAATTGGTAATTTAAAAAAACTCCTCTTAAACCGATTTAAATTTAGTGATTTTTTTAGAAATTAATTTTCAACCACAGATAAGCACAAACAGAAAATAAAAACCAGCAGAAAATAAAAAGACACAAGATTTATAGTGGTTTGGTCAAACACGACCTACATCCACTCCCTGAAGTCTCCCACTTCAAGTATTGCACTATTACCATAAGTCTCTCCTTTTGCCCCCACAGCAAGGCGGAAAAGCCTTCACAAAAACTCTCTTCCACCACTATCCGATGCGACAGAGAACCGTCGTCCTTTTACACCCTCCAAGTGTCAACAGAGAACTGTCGGCTGTTCACACTCTCCAAATGTAGGCAGAGAACCTTCGTCCTTTCACACTTTCTAAGTGTAGGTAGAGAACCTTCATCCTTTCACACTCTCTAAGTGTAGGCAGAGAACCCTTACGGCTGTTCACACTCCTCGAGTGTCGGTAGAGAACCAGATCTCCTTGAAAGATCTTCTCACAAGAATTCTAGAAGGACAAGAGAAAAGAGTGAAGTAACCACAAATTACAAATAAAGATTCTTACCTTTGAGTAACCAAGTGAACCCTTTACTCTCCAGTAGTAAGAACTCTTCTTCAAACACTCTCTCTCTCACTCTCTTCTTTAATCTCCCTTTAGTATTTATGAAGACCAAAAGACAAAAAGATTGCATGACAGTCTTAAGTAGACCTTTTATAAGAAAGATACGAAAACTCGTCTAAAAACTGCATTTTTCAATTTCTGACCGATCATGATCATCCCGTACGATCCAATTTTGTACTTACAAATAGTGTAAAAATTTTTGTATAAGACTTTAATGTGAACTGGTATGAACAGACTTCGTTCCTGATCATCATCCCGTACGTACATGGTTCGTCTGGTATGAACAATTTTTCTCAAAGTTATTTGGTATGAAAAAGAAGGACAAATATTAAGTTTCTAGAACAGAGAACCTCGTCCTGGGATGAACAATAATTATCGTCTGGATGAATAGTTCATTTTGACCAATCCAGAGCCCATCGTCCTAGGACGAACGATAATTATCGTCTGGACAAATGTATCCAGAGAGCACCATCCTGGGATATACGATAAATATTATTCAAACAAATGCGTTCAGAGCCCATCATCCCAGGATGAACAAAAGACATCATCTAGACGAATAGTTAATTTTGGTGAATACAAAGCTCATCATCTTGGGACGAACGAAAAACGTCATCTAGATGAATAGTTTATTTTGGTGAAAACAGAGCTCATCATTCTGGCCAAAATTATAAATTTTGTTTGGACGAACTCATCTAGAGAACATTATCCTAAAATGAATAATAAATATTATTTGAATGAACGCGTCCAGAGCCCATCATCCTGGGACGAACGAAAAACATCGTCTGGATGAATAGTACTTAGAAAAAATTTTAATCCTCTATGTTCGTTCTTTTGCTTGTTCGGGAGTTAAATGAACAGATCGTCCCGTACGAACATGGTTCGTACTGTACGATCAGTTTTAAAATTTATGAATTTTAACTCTCCCCCGGTGTGTGTGTGCTAAATTACTCAATTTACAATCACACTCTCTCAGACTCAAATAAAATGAAAAATACAAACTCCGGTTTTACAAAAAAATTTAAGCAGATCTAGATTTGAAGTCTTCAACAATCTAGAGTATGATTTTCCTGAAAAGTTAGTACACACAAGAGCCAAAAATAAATCTTCCAAAATGTGTTAGGAGAAAATAATAATAAAAAACAATAAGATATGAAATTAACAAAACATACAAGTTGCAAGAATGTAAATCATGCAAAGCTAGGTAGTAACTTTCTCAACAGGGATAACACATTCATTTTCCATCTAGAGGAAACTATGTGATTTTATGCATTTTAATAGAGTTCACTTATTTAGATAAGATAGATGTTAACATTACATTTGTGTATTAAATCAGCCTTATAAATTAATAGCCTGATTAAATTTCTCTTTATTTAAAAGTTGGCTAATAGTTGAAAGTTGAAAGAGATATATTTTTTAAGATAATTATAACTCAAAGGGTAGAAGCCATAAAAAATTTCAAGCTTAGCAACCTACACTTCTATCTTTTTTGGTGGCTCCCTTAGTTGATGTTCTTTCATATTATTGGTTTATTGACTACTTATCTTCTTTAAGCTTTTCTTTCATTGTTATTTTCTTTTGCTAAGCAATAAAACCACTCACTTCTTCTTCCTTGAAGCCTTGGTATTAGAGTAAGAGGTACAGTGAGCTTTTAGTAAGAGAAATACAATAGGTAGCATATTATTGAGAAGAGTATTAATGGAATTTTGTCATCTTCAATGGACAAAAATATTTTGTGATAAAGCACGACATAGAAAATAATATATTACTCTGAAAGATAAAAATATAATTTCGCTACACGCTTAATAACAAAATTTTCTTTTTTTTATATATT